GTCCGCCCCAAACAACTCCAGTCTACTTCAACTGCCCTTCTTCCAAACGATCCCACCCCCAATGTCCGACGAAACAGCCCCCACTCATGAAACGCCGGGTTCTACTCGCACTGCGGACGCTTCGGACATGCAGACAGCAAAGGACTGGTTCAAGTCCGTTTTCAAGATCCCAGCACGCGGCCATTGTAGAGGCACAGGCCGAACGTCGACAAGCTGCTGAGGATCGCCGACAAGCCCTAGAAGATCGTCGCACGGACCGACAACTCCTGATGTCCGCTCACCAGGCCAACGCCGCCCGCATTAGCCGCTTAGAAGACTTACTTTTAGCGATGAATATCAAAAACGAAACGGATGTCCGTCCAGTACAGCCCGCTCCGGGCCGAGTGGACCTGCAGAAGTTCCGTATGTCGGATGGTCCGATCTACAGGGGACCGTTCCAAGAAACCGAGCCGTTCCTTCGATGGATCCATGGCGTACAGATTTTTTTCGACACCAAAGACGTCAACAATGCAGCCGACAAGATTAGGATCGTCGGCAACCTGATTGCGGAGACGAATCTCCAGTCCTTCTATGCGAACGAGGCGACTGGTTTTCTCGCCAAGTCTTGGGAAGAATTCAAGACTCGTTTGTTCGACTTCGCTCTTCCCAGTAACTGGCGGTCGAATTTGCAACGGCAAGTCCGGAAACTCGAAATGTCTCCGACCGAAACCTTCCTCGAGTACAGTACACGGGCGCGCACTTTGCAAAGTCTTTTCAACTTCGATGCCGCGGAGACTGCAAAACTCGGGGACCTTCAATTGGCCCAGTTCTTAGTATACGGGTTGACGGATGCCTTACAGGATCGAATCAATGAACGCCAGCTTCTCGAGACGACCCCATTCACCTACGGTCCATTCGAGAAGCAAGCTAATGCGTCCTTCCTCGCACTGCAACGCCCCGCCGAAACACCCGCCTTGCTCCGACCAACGTCGAGTGCGTCACCGAATCTATCCCGTGACGAATTCATCTGGCGGGTACATTCCTTCCTCGACTCACGTGGCCTTTGTCACTTCTGCAAGAAACACTGCGGC